TTTTTTTTTTTTTTTTTGGCTCTGTAATACAGTTTACCACATGCTGACGCAAAATTTTTTAAAGATATTTTTTTTTTGACGTAATATCAGGGAAATACATAAAAACATCTTTTTCCTTTTTCCGCATCACCTTTATTTCTTCAGCCAAAAATTTGCCTTTACTATTTTTGTGATTACTGCTGCTAAATAGCTTCTTGACAAATGAAAAATGAAAATAAGCAACAATCCAAACCGGAAATGTAGTAACAAAAAGAAATTAGGAAAAACCTTGTTTCTTTCATTCAGTGTATTTATTAGACAGTATGATAAGGGTTGAATGAAAAACAATGGTTAAGATACAAGCTATCTATCAAGACTTTGCAGAGACTGCCTTTCTGGAGCGGATCCGTTGCTTCCAGAAACCGCATGGAGGCTGACAACACGTCATGGAACATGTTTAAGTTTTGAAGAGCTTTGTGATGGTTTTGTATTCAATCTTCTATTTGTTTTTGTGTAAGTTTTATGCAACTTCAATAATACTGACTACTTTTGGGTAGCTATTGACAGTTTTCTTATTGCATAGTACATAGACCAGTTCCGTCATGCATAGAAACCTCATTACATTTACATATTTCATTGGTTTTTTTAGCAAATTGGGAAACCACTAAAAAAGTGCAGAAATTAACATTTTTTCTGTATATGGTAAACACCCTTTTTTTCGTCTTATGTTTTTTTTTTTTATTTTTTACTTTTTGTTTAATCATTTGACAATTTTTATAGCAAATTATTTTGAATCTCAGACTGCTGTTGTCACTGCTGTTGCTGTTGCTGTCCCGGTGCTTCACCGGTTGTAGAAGTGAGTTGAATTAGCAATAGCGGATCGAAAGATGAAGTTTGTTAATGGGCATTTAGTAGTATTGGTTGGTTGTTTAGCAACAGACATTCGTTATTATCGCACCAACGATTATGGAAAAGGAGCAGGAATACCGCGTAGTGGGGTTCATCGGAACAGCTGCGGTACCACTGACAACAGAATTTGTTTTTAATTTTTCGCTTTTTTTTTTTTCCAAAATTGGTTGGAGCAAAAAGCGAGGAAGCGGTTACGGGAAATCTTGGGAGATAGGCTGATGTATGCAAATTGTAAATATATTTTAAAAAAATTTTTTTTCTTTGGAACGTTGAAAAATAGAAGAAAAAAAAATAATTTTCCAATGAAAAATTAATGGAGGAACGAATGAATGGGGTGTGGTGAGGTGGGGGAGTGAAAGACGACCAGGAGAAACGGCAGAATGGAAAAAAAAAAAAGAGGAAAAGTGGAAAAAAATACTGCATTAAAGTTTAATTCTACGACAACTTCTTCGTTCTCTTATTTATTTATTTTTTTCGTTTTCTTTTCTTTCTTATTCATTTTAATTAAAATTTTCAAAAATATCTTTCTGTTGCATCATTAATAACCAAATGACAGGGGACAATAGTGGACTGCTTTTTTTTTTCATCTTTTATCTTAAACGCATTCTGTAAGAAGTGGTTTAAATTCTGTATAAAATTCTGCATACTTTCACTGTTTATTTCCACATCGGTGCCAAATTATGATTGTTAAGTAAAGCCCTAAAAATGTGAATAGCAAAAAATAAGCAACAACAAAAAGGACCAAAGTAAAAAAAAATTGCAAAATGATTTGCAACATTTTTGCTTTTCAGTTTTTTCTTTACATCGCTTTGCTTTTTGATAATTTATCGTATACAACAAAAACAAACAAATGGCAGTATCGAAACAGAAGGGGAAAAAGAATTTCATTCATATTCAGTTTTTATTCAGCTCTTTTTTTTTCTTTTTTTTTTTTGAAGGGGGAGGTGAAGTAACCAGTCAAAGAATAAAAGGCTTTTTCTCTGTTGGCTAAATGGGAAGGCGAAGAAAGGAAAAAGGAACGGTATAGAACTGTAAAATTTCTGGGTACCTTTATCTGCTAAAATATTCAATGTTCGATTAAGCATAGTCTTCGGTTTGGCTATACACTCACTAAGCACTGTAGGCCGTAGTCTAAACAAGCCGACTGCAACTGCTGCTGCTACAGCTGCTGTTGCAGACGTAATAATGGCCTAACGATGATACAGTTGGTTATGAATCTGTTGCCTCAATATTCTGGAGTACTCAGTGGTTGTTGTTTACGTATCAGCAAGTTCACAAGACGATAAGTGCTCGGCTAAGGGGGAATCTAGTTGGTTTATTAAAACATAAATCTAAAAAAAAAAAAATAATA